ATATTGGATTACCCAGTTTTGGTGACCTTGAAATCTCCCATCTCAATAGTGCAACCTTTTAATCTCTGTGTCTATAATGAATCACAGATGTTATAGAGTTGTGTTCTTCATTACTAAAGCAAACACTATGAAGAGTACAGCATAAACCAAGTGCAAAGTGTGTAAGACAAAGTTACCAGGTTCAGAGCAATTTTTTAAAGGAAAAATACCTTTCTAAGGGTACTGGTGTAAACCTTGGGAATTATTCTACATCTTAAAATATAGCTGTATTTAAACTTAAATATCTTACAGTACATTAAGCATTGCTTTGCAAATGTTTTTATCAGCTTACAATCATATTAACAAGCAGCTTTTACAATTAAACTCAGAATGTAGAAAACATTTTTGTTTGGGGATGTTATTTTCTATCTATTCCATTTTCTTTTCATGATAATTATTTAACAACATCATAAAAATGCTTGGAAGATGAGTAGTTGGGTTTTACATACACAGAAGTTACAAAAAGTTAATAGCTAAAGTGAATCAATTACCTAATGTTGTACCATAAAGAAAATACAGAATTTTGGAATACTGAAAAAAAACTTATTTTCACCCCCATGGATATTCTGTGCAAGAGCTCAAAATTATCTTTTTATGTACATAATATTTGGTTAAAAAGGTATATTTAAATCTGTGTTAGCTCCAAATGGCTTCAACATATGCCCTGGAACATCAGCCTTAAATTATTTAATTATTATCCATTCATTATTTAACAGCTACACAGCTGAAATTAAAAAGAGTGCACCTGAGAACATACTTTAAAGGCAGACTTACAAACAAGCTCGTGAGGCGCTACTGTTTTTGAGAGTGACTGAATCAAATCACATCAATGCTGCCTTATAAGTACCAGAAGACTGTGAATATTATAACTTAGAGGAAAAAACCCTTCCCACTGTAACTCATTAAAAAATAAATCCAAGCAAGGATTTTGTGGTAGGATACAGCAACCTCTTTGAAAATTAACTTTTTTTTAAACAGCTTGTTATTTGTTGATTGGTCGAGAGGCTGATTACGAATGGCGTAATAAGGCAAGTTGGGCGAATTATTGAACCAATGGGTAGGGAGAACAACCAAAGTCAGGAAGTTTGGAACATAGAAACAAAAACACAAATGGACCACACTGGGATGTAACATGAATGAAAAAAAATCACTCCAAAGATTAAGGTTTACTTTGAATGTGTTTAGATATTTATCAGATATATGGATTGTTTTTGTCTTGTTCACATGTAAACATATGGATAAGACAAACATGGTAACTTAGAAAGGTAAGAAGTAAATATGGACTCTCCGGTCATCCATGAACCATCTGAAAGTCTTACATTATAATCTTCCTGCTGAAACATAAGAGGGAACTACAACAAAACAGCCTTCACACCATCCTTTCAAATTGAGCATGGGTCATTTGACATTACTAAACTAACAGCACAAGTCCATTTGCGAAACCTGAGGGACATACTGTAGCTGTGCTGAGAAACCTACAAATACGTCTGAGGTCAGGGGAAAAAAAAATCAGCAGCAATCTAACCAAAAAGTCCAAACTGTACAGAAATTACAAAGTTGAAGATGATCTACAGTAAAAATCTACTGTACAAACAAAAATCAACTGTTTTAGAAAGTTATCCTTCCATATTATTTCTGTCTGTTTAGTTTACTGTTTTCTCAAAAACAAATACTTTTCAGAAAGCTTTCTGGTGAGTTCACCACAAACAGCTGAAACAAGCACACTGAAGGAAAACAATGGCATGAACATACAATTGATTCTCTAGTTTGGGTATGTTTCACAAAAGTAACAAACACTGAAGAGAACACCAGAAATATCCATATAGAACCTACACTATAAATACAAGTCAAAGATTTACTACATGTGGCTTGCTAAAGAACAACTTCTCAATTGTATCAGTCATATCTGAATAGGAAGTCAAAATCAAGAATGTATGTTGCAAACTGTAAAACTGTAGCAAAAGCCTTCTCCTTCAGATGTTATACAGTATAAGTTGTATTCAATTACAGTAGGCTGCTTTGAGCCAAGTTGAGTATACAAATAAAAATCGATGCTGGATGGATCTTCAATTTAATATAATGGCTTCCCACTGATGTAAAAATGATTGCATTCCAAAAATAACTATTGTGTATCCTACCATCTGCTTTTGGAACAGATTAAAACACGTATAACCAGCCGCAAAAAATGATTAAAAATTTAAGACAAAATGTAATGGATTTGTACTTAGACTATAGTGGAATTTCTGCTAAAGGAAATTTACTATTAGTGGCATTCATAAAAAAATAACATTACAAGAATTTTAAAGTGAATGAAAATGACAAAAAAAAGAGGTTCAGCAATTACCCTTGTACTTGGGAATCATGTATATAAACATCAAACAACACTAAAACTCAGGAAGATGTCAGGGACAGCAATAAAAATTAGGCATTGTTAAACCCATATGACAATGCAATTTTAGATTATGATAATTCTGCTGAATTTAATTAAATGCTGTACAATATATAATGGCCTTATAGAATACACAATTATAGGAGGATCAAGTCTTATAAGTTTGAGTTTGACAGGATTGGTAAACTATTGTACTATATAATAGCCTTATAAAAGAAAAGTGCAGTTTCTTATCATCTGCAGACGACACTACCTTATTTCACAATTGTTATGTAGCTGGGAAGAGACTGGAGACCATTAGAGAGATTTCCAGTGTTTTTTTTACACATATCTTGAAACTGAAACAACCCCTCAATGACATGGCCTAAGACACAGATAGAATTGACATTTTCCTGATTTCTGTGAAAATGCTGTAATAATCTATAATTACAGAACATTGAAGTTGCCAAAGTAGAAATACAGAGTTATAATTTGGGATGACAATTATAGCTGAAAAACATAATCAAACATGAAAAATATTAAATGACGATCCCTAAAATATTGGTGCTTTTTGAAATTAAATGTGTATTTAAATATTTAAGTATTGTTTTTGTTATGTCAGTTATTAAAAGCTTTAACCATAACCCAGCTACAGTACAGTATGTCAAAATACTGTAGCTTCATACAGTACATATAAATAAACAATTTGAGAGAGGAGATGTGTCAGGTTATGAGCTGCCAAAGAAGAATTAGAGGTTAATTCCATACTGAAAAGTAGGAAGAGAGGAGAAAAAAACATTCTGCAGGTGTGTCACTTCAGTGTAGAATTAACTTGTACATTTTTCTTCATAAAAAGTTCAATACTGCAGCAATGAAAAACATATTAGGCAAATATAAGAATTCTTACTATACAAATCATGATATTTCTAAAACATACCTTCCATTTATGAACTCTTTTATAGATAAATGCAAAGCTAAGTGACACGCCAAAAAATGGACGAAAATCCAGCATGACTCATCTTCCTATAAAGGCTCCCTCTACTGGCTGAATATTTCAACAGAGGCATTTTCCTAGATTGTTTTCTAATATGCCAGAGATATTTTCAACACAAAAGACGTACACACAAGCAAAATACACAATTGTACCTTTCAGCCTTAAATTATCTGTCATTAATTTGTTATTTGGATTACGAAACTGATTTCAATCTAAATCACAAATAAACAATATTTAATTAAATTTTAAAACAAATATAAACAGTATATTGGCTTTTTGCAATACATACTGTATTGTGCACCTCTATAGAAATGGACATTGTAAGTATTACTGTGACCTCAAGCTGTACTTTTGTGCAATACACCTGACTGCACTCATCAAGATATTTTGGACTGTGTATCTATGGTCTTTAGGTGGAATAATGGAAAGTTGTGCAAAGTGTCTGTTGAGCCTTTTTGTTTAAACATAGGGATCCCGGATGTTTGGGTTTGAAGTGGTTTTCAGTCATGATAAGGCCCAATTCTAGGTGGAACAAAATGAGTTATTGCACAGTACTTGCAAATATTTCCACCTAATGTCAAACCACACGTTTATGCTTAGATTATAGCTTTATTATACAGTATTACATTTAATGTCTTTTACACATTAATGTGCAAAAGTGAATTTTCAGCTAGGGGTGCCAACAAGTATTCATTACCATTTCTGCTTCTGATTTATGATATTGTTGCGTGATTTATGAGTGGATCATCGCATTCTGGCAAGGATAATACCTGAAACCCTCCTAGAGGATTAGAGCAACAAAAGCCATGACATGAAAAAGAAAAATAATGTTACATTGTCAGGCAAAATTTGCTGGAACTCCACCAGTAACATCTTACAAAATATTTCAATATTCATCCTCTTTCACCAATGCCTGGGCCCAAGGCCCAATGCCTTTCTAATCTTTGTTTAACAAAACTGCAAAAACTAAACGAATAAACAAACTTCAAGAGCTGTACAGAGTACAAAGAAACTGATACTGGCATACAATGATGCAGCCTGGCAATATAAGAAAGAATTACACAATGAAGTCATTAATTTATAAAAATAATAATCAGAATATATAAATGCCTTCATACTATATGCTTCAATACATCTTTCATAGACAAGCACACAAATTCTTTGAATTCTTGAGAACCCTTCACCTTTCTAACAAGACTAATTAGCATAATATCATAATGCATATACCTCTCCTTCGTGCAAATCCTGCACACAAAAATAAGAAATGATTGTTTCACTGCTGAAAATTAATACTACGATGGGAAACAAAAGCTGATGCTAAGAATTTGCTAATATAATTCCTTCAGATTAGCTTGCAGGTTTCAGCAGATCTTCAAAAGGAAACTATCATTATAATTTTATGTATAATATTTCAAAATTTTTGCAATTATACATTTTGTGCTTTTTAAATGTACCATTGCTGAAGACTGTGTTTTAGACGGGACCGGTCAGTAACTTGGCAGCGAAAGACAGGCCGACCCCAGACAGCAAGAGTTCATAGAACCTGGACTGAAGGGCATGGGGCTTTTCGGATCAGACTGGGTGGGGAAAGTAACTCACCACTCAGGATCCACAGGCGTGATGTCTATTCTGGGCGGGACGATAAAAGGCAGAGTGGTAGGCCTGGTTATGATATCCTCATCCGGGGTCCGAGCCCTCTCTGCTTGTCTCCAGGACAAAGGAGGCAGCTGCAGATTTCCCGAATGGCGCCTCCGGCCTCTTCGGAGGTCAACTCCCAGGGTGCAAGTGGGCGAGGTATACGACTCGCTAAGGCCACAGTCTGGAGGATCTTTATTGTCCTAAAAAATGAAGCAGTCGTTTAAGACATGAATGATCACTGTTGAAAAGTAAAAAAGTCTATTAAATATCCATGTTTATGTTGTGTACATTATTCACAGTATAATAAGTAACTCTGTTCATTTACATACATTTATACATTATGTATATATACAGTATAATTTATGATACTTCCAAGACATTTTACAGACTATAAGAACTTAATAATGTACAGTGGCCAACTAAATGTTTAAAATGTATCTATTATAAAACTGTTTAATAAACCAAATTGATAATGCTAAAGCCACAAGGGTTTTTGTCACACAAATATCTGCTCTAGCATGTCACAGATTGTTAAACAGTCTTCCTAGTAACTATAAGGGATGGGAAAATGAGATTCATCTTCATTGTTCTTCTGTTGTATCAGAAAATAAAAAAATGTCCTTACCATATTGAACAAAACATAAAAACTGAAAATCCTAAAATCCAAGGCTAAAATCTAAGGAAATATTCCAAAACAATAATCATGTGGTATTTATTTGTATTTTTAAAAGTTAAGACAGATTGCTGAATTGAATATAACAACATAACTACAAAAAATTAACTAGTTCAAGTGGGACGCTGCATCAGCTGCAAAAAATGAACTATTACTGTACACTTTGAACAGTTTCTGTTTTTCCATCTTAAAGCTCAGTAAGAATTATGTATACTAGACCCTTAGTGAGACAGTATGATCTGACTGGTTCATATTTAGGACTTGTACATTTCTTTATTTTGTTTTATTTATTCAGAAGCATATCAGTTATACAGAAAAGTACCACAAAAATTCTTCTTTATGCCTGTTTCAGCTGTGCACTAGAGGGCGTCCTAAGACTTCTTACGTTGTTAATACTTCTAACTACCTAGGGTTCAAAATTAAAATGAAAAACATTTTGTACAGAACATCCCTTTATAAGGAACAATCTGTCCTCAGCAACATCAACAACAACACATTTCATGTAATCACCTGGTCAGCCAGGAGTACATTCATCAGCTGTTTACCTGCTTCTGGTCCCCTTTGTGTTTTCTATTAATATTTAGCAGGACTTTTAATCTTCAGCTAAGGTAGTTTAATAGGTTATTATGATAAGAAAAATATGACTATCCACTAGGATTTAGGATCCAAGAACTAGAAAAATAAATGAATGCATTAATAGGCTTTGGTTTTTTTCGATAAGAGGCTGTTTCCTTTGAGTATTTTTCCTTTGCTCTGTGACTGAGGGCAGCAGGTTTTAATGATTAACGGGCAAATGGATGGACATATATTAAATTATTAAGACTAGGAGTGAAAGGAAAAACTGCCAGAGTTTGTCTTCTCCAAAAAAGAAAAGCTTTTTTGTTCATTTCAAATTTTACCCCGCAAAGAGGACTACTATTTTTTTTAAGAAAACTTAATGCGCTTTTTTAAACATCTCCAAAACATTTTCAGAACAAGAGATTTTCATTTATTTTTATAGTACCGTAAAAAGCTTGTGATTTCAAAGGCTTTGAATTATTTTCACATCCAGTGCCTATCTATAAAGCTTGGCAACATATGGGTTCCCTGAAGGTTAACTACATCAGAAAATGTTTTGTGATGATAAGCGCAATGTCATAAATCATAAACACCCTGCTTCACACACTCTTCCAAAGGAAGGAAATAAAATATTAAATCAAGTTTTGGGTGGCTTTTGAATATTCTTAATGACACACACATTATTTTTTTATTATTATTTAAAATCACAATAGGTGTCTTTCAAGACAAATCAGAAGCATCTGAAGTATCCTGTTTATTAATATCAAAATTTGGTGATAATTATACACATCACAGTTTTGCTTAAAGGAATACAGGTATGGATTGCAACAGAGCTCTGAATATAAGCATGAAGTACAGCGGACTCAAAGTGAGGTCATGGCTGTATGGACGTTCCCAGAATGCAATGATTATGTGGGCTTGTTTATGTGCATGTGGGCTATTTCAATCTGGAAAGTACTGATGAGGTTAGTGAAAAGCCTCACGGCAAAAACAAGAAAGGCAAAGCTCCTGCCCTTGCCCATTTTATCAGACACACTAGCTGTGTGGAGTGAGATATGTGGGAAGTTAAAATGGTTCTTGTGTACTTGTGATCAATTCTACACTACATACAGTATATGTGACCTAAAGGCAATAAAAAATAATAGAATATATAAAAACAGAGAGGAAAGCTTTTAAATATTGCAGTTGTAATTTTGATATAAAGATAGAAAACATCAAATGCCTTAAATTTCAAAAGCTACTCTGTAGTGATTCTCCTGTTTTCAGTATAGAAAAAAAATACAGACTAAAAAGTATTTTTTTACATGATGTTGCTGTTTTATTGTACCATGGACAAAGGGTCATGCTGCTGTTTCATTGCAATTTACTTTAGCCTTCTTCAGTGTCTAATGTTAAATCACATACAGTAAATAAAAATTTTATAGCATGTTAAGGCGATAACAATAGTCTCTTCCCTATGACCCTGGATTGGATGAAGCAGCTGGAAAATGGATGGTGAACTGTTATTTAAGCTGATTTTGATCTGATTTAATCCCGATTAAATAAAACTGGAAATCACCTGAAGAACGCTCCACAGCCGAAAAGCTGTCTCTTTTCTTTTCCTTTCAGCATGGACTAAACCTTCACCTGTTCTTGTAAATCAGAAGGTTCCCTTTTGTCCAGACTGAAAAAAATCTGAAGTCTCAGTAACTCAAACAGAAAGATCTGGTGCTCGCAGCCCACTTTGCCTAGTTTTTGGAAACACTTCACATCAAGATTCATGGAAGGGGCAGAGGTATAGGTAATGAGGTTATGGGAAAGTTGACTGTTAACTCAGTCTGCCTTTTAAAACACAGACTTGTTCAGACCTGGACAAAACAGATTCATGATATATGGCAGCTTCGCAAGGAATGTTTCCACATATTTAGTAGTCATGTAAGACCTAGCTCATACTAAATGTAACATTGGAAACAGAAAAAAATGAAACTTTAAGCCAGCAAAGAATCTCAAAGATTATTTTAGATAGTTATTATCCACCAGACAGTGATCGGCTTGTATCCTGCTGCTGCCATATGGACCTTCTGTTTGAACTCAGCTGGAATCAGTGGACTCTGGTTTTACATGGTGCTGTAAATGTATCAGTCCCCCATAGAGCTATCTGAGCCCACGCCATCTAGCAGTGACTGCTGACTAATTCCCAAACATGGAATATTAATTTAATGCACTGGTATAAAAATGAGGTCAAGCACTAGAACTGTTTTCTGCACCTGGCATTGGTCCTTTAATTCTAAACATAACAGTTGTTGTGCCATTGCAAGTCTCAGTCCAAAGACTATTTATTAGTAGGTGCAGCATATGTGGTCAGACCTCAGTTTTAATCTACCCTCGCAGGACCCTCCGTGTCCAAGCCACTCAAATGAGCATCAGACCCGCTACATAAAGACTTAGTGTGGGGGGGTCTGAAGAGTCTTTAACAACTCAGAGGAGTGACACCACTCGTTACACACCATCAGCTGTGTTATACTCTCCCCCTCTATACTCATCACTAACGTCAGCAACTGATAGGCAACTGAGTCACTACACCACTGTAGCTCGGCCAGATGCCACATACTGGATTTACCCCACTGACTAAGCTCTAAATATCTAAGCCTAGGCCAAATCCACAAACCCCCAACAAAAGAGGAGAGATATCACCATAACAGGCTCCCCATGAGCGCTGTTGCACCAACAAAATCCAGTTGTTCACTAAGCTGGAAGACATCAGGTATTCCAGACATCTGGGAGCAAATATTTGAACAGCCCACCAAGTTAATAACACTGTCACAGCACTTGAGATGACCTCAAAACGTTGCATAAAAATGGAAACATTTCTTTTGTTTCTGCATCTCAATCGGCTACTTGATATAATGGTCTCAGATACTGTATATTTATCCGGCAACAGATTTTTAATGCACATCACTGAATATTTAGGAACATTTTGTTAACTGTTAAAAAATCCAGTAGTGTTCCTGTCAAAAAGTTTCACAGACAATTGTCTCTTTATGTTAATTTATATAATATAGTTGGATTAATATGGCTTTCAGGTTAAATTACATTAGGAGACTCTTGTTACTCTTTTGGTACAAGCTGGATCTAACTGGTTTCCCCTCACACTGTTCAAGAAAACATTAAAGGACTAAACATACTGTACCTGATACGCCAGCAGCCATATCACCCTGCAGCTCTCAACTGGCTACCCGGTTGAGCCTAGTCGGTACCTAGATGGGAGACCTCCTGGGAAGCTGCTGGAATTGGTTTAAGTGGGACCAGCGGGGGGCGCCCACCCTGCAGTCTGTGTGGGTTCTGTTGCCCTGGTATAGTGGCGGGGAAACTATACTGTAGTGGGCGCCGTCTTTCGGATGAGAAGTTAAACCGAGGTCCTGACTCTCAGTGGTCATTAAAGATCCACCAATAAGAGTAGGGAGTCACCCCAGTGTCCGGGCCAAATTTCACCCCTCTGCCTTTTCTGTGGCCTCCAAATTGTCCCCATGCAAGGCTTGCAAGGGCACTTGCCCTGCAATGGACTGCTGCCCCATCCAGGGTGTACCTGCCTGCGCTCGCTGCTTGCCAGTAGGCTCCGGCTTCCAGCAACACCGTCTGGTATAAACCGGTTTGGCAAATGACATGACATGACATACCTACAGTAATACATGCTCGATAAAAAAGAGTCATTTAAAAAATATTTTTAAAAATTCAAGTGAATTCAGCTGTCTGAATTATCAATGAACACATAATATTTTGTATAACATTTTTGAATTAGTGAGATAAAATTAAATACTGTATAATAACTAGTTTTATACCTTTATAATTTTGCTGGCTCAATCAAAGGGGAACTGTAGCTATTTGTATGGCTCAAGTTTAGAAAGATTCAGCATTGATGGGTACATTTCAAATCATAATAAAAGTACAATGTACACAGTAACTATGTGCAGCGGCATATTCCATGTTCATATTCAGAACAAGACAACAAAACTTCCGGTGACGTGTTGTGGCCTTATTACATTGTAAACAAGCAGGCTTGTGAATACATCACTTTTACACCACTAGATATATTGCTTACGATTTTCAGGTCTTGCTGACAAGTACTACTTGTTAAATCCGCGTGCAGAAGACGTTGGAACATTTCTGCGGTGAAATGTCTGCTGCACAACCTCATTCACTGTTTAGCACATTACATTGGTCATTGAAGTGAGCAGGAAGAGCCATATCACGTCGCCATTCGTAGGGACTCAAAAGTGAGTTTGTGACAACAAGGTGACTTACGGTACTTTCACAAAGTTCACGATTTCAAAATTTGTAACAAAATTTCTATACCATCAATTAATTTATTTTGTTACCGAGATTTAATAAACAGACTGAGAAACAGAACCTTTAAATGAAGAACCTATGTAAATAACATATATGTAATCCGGATAAGCCACAACCTTTCTTTTTTCTTGTTATTTGATCCTGTAAGCTTTTTCATCACAGTGTACAGCATAGGGAAGTTCATGCACTGCTTTAATAAATACATTCCTAATTAACTGCTGGTTTAAGTATATATACTTTTCTCCCTCTTCTCTCCTCTTAAGGTTTCTCATATACATTAAGTAAATGTTAACAGAAGAGAAATCTGTCCAGAATAATACAGAGGTGGAAAAGAAGAGGAAGAAAGAAAGGAGAGGCATCCACTCCAGAGTCAGACAAGGCCTTGGGGCCTTTTGTAGAGAAGGCTACTGAATGATGACATCAGTGAATCAGGAGTCACTGTTACCAAGGCAACAACATAGGACTGTTATACCATTTAAATGGAAGATACAACACAATGAAGACTGTTGTAGGTGTACGTTGCACGTGGCAAAGAGGAAAAATGCATTATCTAATAACTAATATTATATCTATATTCTAACTTACTATAATGTCTATATTCTTATTTACTTTCAACAGAGAAGAAAAAACAATAAATAAAATGTGTCCACAACATTCTGGAGAGATACATGTTGTATTAATTTAGAACACTACATGCAATACTGGTCAAAATACTTTGACTATGGTAAAAGTTAATGATACATACAATATATACACAGCAACCTGCAAAAGAATGTAACACATTTAGTATCAGGAAAAAATAAGACATTTAATATTTTTTTATTTAGCTAAGTTAATGTATATATTATAAATAGTATTTACCTCTATACAACTGTTGTAGCCAATTAAAATAATAATAATAATAATGTTGAAATTAAATAAAAACCTTCAAGTTTTTAAATAATTTGATAAGAAAAAATCTATTATTTTATTGTATTGTAAAGAACCTGGAGCATGACCTGAATTAATAAAATGCAATCATGTCGTCTAGCCTCCGAGAAGGAACATGCCTTTATTTAATCATTCTGTCTCAGTCACTGTAAGCAGCACACCTCAACTCACTTTAAACCCAATAAAATTCTAACAGCACAATTTGTCTTTCAAGTTGCCTTAACCCTTGAAGTCCACAAGCAGAAGAGTGTGCAAACAACTTTCTTGTATTAATCCCACAGAAAATCTTGGATGAAGGTAATTCTTTTTCTATTGCATCTTTAATAACTTTATTTCACTTGGGAATGAATAATGAATAAACTATTCGCAACAGTGCTTTGCAAGAAAAGCTAAACCAGGCAAGAGAATGAGGGACAAATACAGCACTTCAATTACAATTTTAAAACAGTTAGTTATTGATGCTTGACTCTTTTTTATTTCTTTAATTCTTCCAAAAGTAAAAAGTATACATGAAATCCGACCTATGGTGCCATGTCAAGTCAAAAGTTTTGCGCAGAAATATAAAAAGAAAGGTCCTCTATTAGCACTTTAACAAATATTCATTTTTAAGAGATGAAACATGGCTTGTGTGACCTTTCCTCAGGCATTACTGCCTGTCAGATATGGTTCCATTCTATTTTATCTGATTCATACTTTATTTAAGAAGTGCATAACCTCCTCCAAAGCCAATCTGAAACCCTCATCATATGGTATAATATAACCGGTGAGTGTGACAAGCCCACATTCACTGTACTCACATCATTTGGTGACACTGTCAGAACACTTCTGCTTTTTCTCATCGTGAACAAAAGACAGGCGATGACCTTCTGCTTTTTCTTTTGGAGTAGTTCCTACTATTGTGATCCCCACAGACTCACCGTCACCTTCCAATGCCTGAGCAGGGAAAAAAAAAATATATAGGCACCAAATTACTGTGCTGCATTAAGGGTTTAAACAAACTGGACCGTATTTGGAATTGATCTTCACTGGAGCAAATGAAAATCCTTTCAAAAATTAGGGTAAAACTGTAGGTCAAGAGGAAATTATAAACCCAATTTTTCAGGCGTATCCTCCTCATATAGCACAGATCATGAAACTGATTAATACTGATTCATGTTAACATGCCTTAAGGAGTCTCTTTACCAAACACACTACATTTACAGTAGATTGAAGAGTATCAACAAACTTTACTTGGTGTTTAAACAGAAGTTTGGAGAGAAGTTTGGACTTTCAATTCCCATCATCCCTGGATATAAATACAGGCCTCTAGTATAATCTATCAAAGTGATTTTTACAGTAACATCACTTCTCCACCCCTTTCCCAACAGTTTTGAGCAAGAACCCATTTGTTGTAAATATCCTGGCTGTAAAGACTGGCTCATACTCCCAGCCAAGCTGTCACTCCTTTGTTCCCTGATAGTATATTGCAAGCAATTGTGCCTCAAATGTATTATTGTTAATATTATTACACCCGAAGCAGGCTCCACAGCCAAAACGTTGTTTTCTTTCTTCTCTTTTCAGCATGGAATAAACCTATTACTTGTTCCTTTGCAACCTACATGTGCTGACGCAGCTACCCACCTGAACCATTATTAGGTTAATTTGTTTAACTAAATTTAACTATTTTAAAGGTAAAAAAAATGTTTTCTGATTTGCATTTGCATGTATAAAATCTGTTCATGTAAAATGCGGAATCCTTAAACTTCATATTCTGCATTTGTGTGTGACTCATTCTGTTTTTTTCTGGTTCAACCCACAAGCCAACCCTCAAACATCTTTGTTAGCTTATCGATAAATACTCTACTGCTTTTGCATATAAATTGGTGTTTGGCTGTTACTTGGTAATTTAGTTTTTACAAAATTCTGTACATCACAAAATTCTTCTTGATTTTCTTCATGTACCACGTCACTGATGTGATGGGCTACACACATATTCTTTACAGCTCCAATCAGTCTCAGGTCTGCGCAATTACACTTTGCTTACATTAGACCTTTCACTGGATTCCAAATATTGTGTTGTTACAATAAAACACGTCTCAAATCCACCACTAAATTTTACATGATCCAGTGCAGTGTTTTTAAACAGGAAAGAGAGGATTACAAAGATATGTCATCCGTTACCCATTACTAGTAATTTCTACAGCTTGTGATCCATGACTGCTACAATACAGTAAAGCCCCATGTCGTCAAAATGAATTTCCATTGCTCACAATGTGTTACATGTAGCTATTCTCTGAGGGACTATAGTCTCATATTTCAGAAACGTTTAGAAGCCAGGAGAATGATCAAATAAGGTAAAGTATGTGTAAAGCTCACCAGGCAAAAAATCTCATTGTGAATGACTTTTCTGCTACACAATGCTTCAGTTTGTCCCTTGGCGATGATTACTAATCTGAGATGCATGCTGCACTGTTTTCCTCTTCCACAGTATGTGCTTACAAATGTTGCTTATCAAAGGGATCACTTCTGGATGAGGTGGTGCAGAATGTAGAAGGTTAAACTGAACTATGTGGTACAAACGTATGACCTGCTAGAGACAGAATAATGAAGGAGTTCTGAAAGACCCAAACAAACAGCAGATGTGAGCCATCCTGGCTAACATATACAGCTGAAGAATAATAATGTTTTGTCAAAACATGAACGATATTTTACTTGTTCAGTTATTTGGAACAGCCATTTTGTCATTACCCATGACACTCAAATTATTAGAAAGATGGTCAGAAGTCAGGCCAGAAACATTGGACCATTACAATACATGAGCCTTACTTCCTTACCCACTTTACAAATTGCAGCTTTCACATGTATTTAAGTAAACAAATTCTATATTCTGTATTCTGTGTTCTGTAGTCTGTATTCTGCAGAAAACATGCACTCCTTACTTTGACACATAATCATTAGTATCATTAGTATCATTATTCGGACTAAGGAATATTTAATAATACAGCTAAATAATAATGTTTTAGTAAAACATTAAAGATACAGTATGTTACTTGTTCAGTTATTTGGGACAAATTACAGTTATTCAGTTATAAAGACAAATAAGTTTAGACCTGAAAGAGGATTTTTTTCACTGCCCTCATAATTTGACAGAAAAGTAGTGTGGTAATAGAAAAAAAAGAAATGTACTATTTTAAAAAATGGACACAGAGAGTAACTTTTCGTTCTCATACCTAAAGAAATGTATTACTTGTGTAGCACAGAAGCCCTTATTTTTCCTATGCTATAGCCTCAGAGTTCAACAGAGAGATATTTACTGTATACATACCACACAACCAGGTTACAAGAAAAAAGTCGTTCATTTATCATCACAGCTGGTAACACATTCTACAGCACCAAATCAATAGATGGACCTCATACTAATTATACATTTCAGGACAGATTATATCATTAGTATTCTGTTCACAACATTGTTTCTGAATTTAATATAGAGCAAGACAGGAACATCTTATGCAATACTTGCAAAAAAGACTTTAATAAATACAGTTGACATATTTAATTTTACCTAGTAGTCTGCATGCACCCTACCTCCACAAATAGTACATAACTCATAGTAATAACATATTGTCAAATTAGCTGGTGTCACATCACCTAACAATGTTTGATATTAGTTAAATAAGTTTATACAATCTAATGGAAAATGCTCTAAAGGTTTTATTTTCTTTAGATATTGTACCTGTATAAAGAAGAACTAAACTGCATATGCACAAAAAGGCAATAAAAACAGAAAAAAGTGCTAGCTGTTCTAATACTCACTTGTTGAATTTGTAACACTTTTCAGAAGATTTTGTATACTAACACCAAGTCTTACATTAACTTGTTTTGCAACATTTACATTTTGGCTCTACACTGTAGTTTTCCTCAATGACATCTCTAAGACAACTTCCCAACTACCAACTTAAATAAATCCAATACTTGAACACAACATCAATTACTATGATGTTTCTATTTATACACACTGTGCCCATTGAATCTGGGACACAACAGTAGAAAATAGTCTTCTGTCCCATTTCAATATTGACACAAAAACAGGAACATCTTGTGGTCTACATTGCTTTTGTAAATAGAAGCCCCTCTCTTTACATCCAAAATGCAAAGCAGGCAGCTCCTGATAAAAGAGTCCTCTTGCAGACACCCACACTTTGAACATAGTTTTCTTGCATGCCATTATTTCTATTGTAATTTCTTAACACTTGCAAATGAAAGTGGATAACGCCTGGCAGGATATTTATAAAACCCCCAGACAAAAAAGCTCCCTCATACAGCTCCTCAAATAAAGAACCCTTACCTGAAAACAATCTCTAAGTCCTGTAAAAAAGGCTATGGTGTAACTTTTATTTTAAATCTGCTTTGTTAAACCTTCAGTACATTTATGACTGTATGCTGTCATTAGAATACGAGTAAGATCTAGGAAAAACAATTACTTTGTAAAGGATGGAAGCAACAATCGAGGCAAATTAGTTATTTCACAAGCTGTTTCAAAAATATTCAAGGAAGGAGAATGGCTGGCTGGAAAGTGAGTCATGATAATGACCTGGGAGATGTAAAGTATGTTGGCTGGCCTAATAAATGCAAAATGAGGGGATGATGAGATGCAAACGGGTATGCACAAAAGGAAATTAGACATATTCATACAGTAATAGTTCCTATTTGCCTGCTGTACATGACTAGACTAGAGAGTTATTTTCTGTTAGGGCACGAAGCAACTAGTTAGAGGTAATAATCAATATGACGCAACCATGTTCTAAAATAAATGTATTTTAAATACATTTTCTCTCAATCTGTAGCAGAAAGGTGTCCAGGTGTCCTGGTACTGGATGTTCAGTGTCCTCCTTGTGTATTTTCAAGGATTTTAACAAGCAGTAGCACCCCAGCAGCTGGGAGGAGCCACTGACCACTGACCAGTTATTTGTAATGCGTTAAGAGCTAAGCTGGTATGAAAACCTGCAGAAACACTGGCTCTCGAGGACAAGGTGAGAAACGCCTTACTGTAACACAGCTTTTGCAAAACAGCAACAAAAAAATAAACTCCCTTATCTATCAAATAAAACTGCAATGATGATTTTGAGGGTTTATGGAATCCACATTATCTCAAGATGGTTATAGAGAACATCAGCTTTCATCAGCTTTCAATGTTTTTCAAATTGAAATGAGCAAGGCTGATATAGTCACAGTCGTTAATTGCTTACTTACTCATCCTATCAAGAGGTTGTTAATTTTTTGGCAAATTAATTAGCTTAAAGACATCTGATTTTGATACATTATTTCTATTAATATTTCCACGTCTGATGAGGGAGCGCCATACTTGTGTTTTATAACAGTCATAATAAGGAGATTAAAACATTGCACAGTACCCTTACCACCCTTGTTGAAGGAAGCCTTATGTAACATCCTTATAGCCCTTATGCAGGTCCCTTATGGACCAATTTAGATTGCTTTTAATAGACTTGTCTCTAAGATGGGGATTTCAGTTGTTCTTATATATGACTGCAGAGAAAAGAGTATCTTGGCATCGTTGCACATTCTGCACAGTGTCATCTTGAGAAACCTTAACTTCGTATACATGGATCCTACAAAATGTAAACTTTGTCATGGAAGTAGAAGGTTGCGCTAATATAAGAACAATGCAGCTGTCAAGAAATGAAGTAAATAATGTGACAAGTGTTAAACACGGACAAGATTCCATAAACAGTCTAGTGAATCTCAGGAGCTACAGTGTTATGAAACCATTACTGCAAGCTCAATTACTCTGATATTACTCAAAAAGAAGAAAGTGCTGTAGTAAACAATATAAGCACAACATGACCAACTCATTTTTAATTCTGTGCTGCATCAACATCTGAAATCTATACCTGAGAGGGCATCTAGCAGTCTTTAACATGTTTTTAATTGTGCTC